CTTGAATGAGTCTTCCTCTGGGACACGAATAGAGCGATCGCGCGAGGGTGGTATGGTTCACAACTACCTACTAAAAGTCACTTTCACCTGTCACGCGTGGATTGGCTTTGGATCCCGATCGATGTCCAGGTCTCACTCACGCGGGAGATCGGTGATTGATTCCAATCGGCCTTCCCAGCCGATCCTTGATAAACGCGAACCCCTGCTCAAGGTGGAAGGCGCGCTCACTGCTGCGTTGCGGCAGGCCTACTGACAGTGCCATCGAAGCTTTCGGCTCGGCTCGGCATGACTCGTGCGAGTCCGTCACCCTCCGGTGCGGCGGCCGCTTAAAGCGCCCGCCGATCACTTTTCATCCCCTTCGCTCCCGCGCCCAACCTCGTCCTACACCACTGCGTGCACTCCTCCCTTCGGACTACCCGACACTTCGCGAATCGGGTGAACGTTAGAAAACGACTGTCGTCTCGCTGAAAACGCTGAGACCGCGAGCGATACCGAACAAAGAGAACGCGAGTCGTTTGTGTTTAGCTTGTAAATCGGAATGTGAAAAATAAGGGTTAACAATACGGGGAAGTAATCTGTACCTGTGTGTACGCCAGCGAAGCGAGGAATAAAGAATCTTAAAGTGCACATATATAAAATGTAAGAATTCGGAAAGATTACCGAAAACTTAATTTCCATCCTAATGTCACAAATAAATAAAAAAAATCTGTTTTTTTTATTTTAAATTTAATAATTTTTTTGTTTAAAAGAAAACAATTTAATGTCTTTTTTCTTACAATATACAAGATCATGACTTAATCTATTACTCTTCGAAGCAATTTGTAATTATTTTCTGAAAATGAAAATGTTTTATGATCAATTCTATATCATTTAGTGTTAAAAGGAGGATTATGTCAAACATACATGAGTATAGATGAATATTATGTGCGATGCAAAGCATTTTGAAACATTCGGCGTTTTACTCAAAATGACAATCGCATTAGTATTGAATTGACACAGTGTGCTGCTTTGTGTGTCTGACCAACTACGTTTGCGACTATAACTTTGCGTCTCTCTGTCGATCGACTAAAACTACTTGCGTGATATGCGAATTTTAGAGAAAAAATATTAGAAAAAAAAATTTAAGGAACAAATTATATTGAAAATTAAACGTCTACTGAAAATATGTAAAATAATTTAAGGAAGTTTATTTTAAGTTACAATGTTATACATATATTATATCTACGATAGATATTATAGATTTCAAACTTTAGCAATAATTCAATTGCTGTTGCGGTACTTATGCTCATTTTTTACTAATACAAAATTAAATTGCTATAAACATTAAATAACAGCGAAAAATTTAAAGATATGTGTAAAATGTAATTAAAATGTAATAGAATATATTTATATGTATAAATATTATTCATATCATTGAGCACAGATAACGAACGATGAATCAATGCGTCTGTTTAAATAATTACGACGAAATATTAAGACGGTATCAATTAATTAATATGAAAAAACTGTGCGTTTTTATGTGAAAGTAAAATTTAAAAAATCAGAATGTTCTCGCGTGAATTTTCTTTTATTATTATTGTTATTATTACTTTCCTATCAGTTCCTACTAATTCCTCGTGTTCACGCATCCCAATATACTGCAAGCAATTTTTTTACATGCGCTTTGTATTACAGTAAAATAAAAAATATTCAAGAAAAATAACAACTGCCAATGCATAAAAGCGCGAGTATTAAAAACTAAAAATTGAATTACAGAACAAGCCGGATTTAATTCGTACACCCCGCAGGCAGTGAAAGTGATTTACGTGTATGTCGGCTAACCGAAAAAAATCACACATGTGTACACATGAAACATATGCATTGCATTGGCATAGACATTTAAAATTTGAGGACATAACTGGAAAAACGTGAAATGTTAACTCTTTGTCGATTGCCTCTTTTATCTTTATTTAAAAATTTTACAAATTTTGTATCGGAACAATCCTAAAATGGTTCAATTCCGAAACTGCCCTGTGTTGATAAAATTTTTCAAAAATATAAATAGCACGAGCTTACAATTGTGCAATAACGCTTAACTTGTTTATATACGCAATATATATCAAGTAACCAAGACAGCGATCGCATTTACCATAATTATAATGTATTCATTAAAAGCGCAGGTGCGCAATATGGTATACTCAAGACGAAAGTTTATTGCTTTCGCAACAAGTTTCTGGAACGCTATTGTAGAGCGATGATTCGCTCGAGATATTACACTTGCCAAAATGAGAATAGTCCGAAATATCTGAATATTATCTCAATACTGCAGTGAAGTATTGCTATTTATCTCATGAAAATAACGTGCGGTAGTATGCACACGATTAAAGACATTTAAAGCTATTTCTGGTCTCACTGAACAACAATGAAGATTAATGAAAGAAGAAATATAAACGTTATATTATAATAAAGTCATGTAACATTTTAAGTCTATAATATTGACATGTCATGTATTACAGTATTATACAGAGCAATTTAATTTTAATAAATTTCAGGATATATTTTAATAAATACATGAAAACGAGCAAGGGATTGATTAGCTAGTTGATAATTACTGAAAATTAACGATAAGAAGAGAAATCTTTGATATAAGGATATTTTTATAAACACCAGTTCTTTTTTGCTAATAAAACTGAAAGAAAGAATAAACTCTATCCGTAGTTCTTTTATATCTTTTATGATATATATATATCATAGATCTTCATTAAGTAATTATTTGTTGTTATCTTCGCGAATGTAATTTTCCCGAAGTTGTCAAAATAATCGGCACAGCGAACTTGGTCTCTTCACACCAACCGCAAACTTTCCCATAGTTGTACTTTGCGGTGATATAATAGTACATTGCCGGAACGAACGTAAAGCACTCGAGTAAGATATTACATATTATCGCGCATCGTTAATTCCCTTTTAGCAGCAGCAAAACTTAACTATGAATTTTTATTCAAAAAGTGATGTAATAATTGCCACACAATTGCGCTCTCATTGTCAGATCGTCATTGTTAAGATTTTATATTCATTTGCTCTAGCAAAATTTTTTTAATGAAACAGTATCAGTCATTATTATTATCGTACGTAAAATAGTATACGATACAATGCAAAAATATGCTAATTCTAGTTATTTTGGTGCAATTTTCGCGAAATATTCAGGACTATATTATTTCGTTACAGACTTATAAGAAAATATATATTTTTATCTTCTTTTATTATATTTATCGCTGCTTTATAATAACGGTATTAAATGAGTTTCTTCAGCTACCATTTTTATCAGATATATCATTATCGTTGCCAGGTGTGTAATAGATCACATTTCTTATCGTATCTGTATAAGACGCTAAATAATGAATCATATATTGACATTTTATAAATGAAATTCCTTAATTACAAATAATTTTATGACAGCTTATGTCAAAGAGAAATTGGAAATTTACCTATCTATCTCTGCTTGTCACTTGTCTTTTAAAAATTAAAAATTAAAAAATTTATTTATTTACAACGCACAACAATTATTGTTAATAATAAAAGTATATTTATAGAGTCAAGTTTTTAATGAATTAAAATAATAACTATTTGTGTGTATTACAAACAATTATAAAGAAATAAGTAAATACTTATAAATTAAAATATTTAGTACTATTTGTTTATTTGTTTATAATTTGTCTTAAAGACTAATATAACAGCATAATATCGAAATAAATAAATTTTTATTATTTTTATCATTAAAAAAACTTGACTCTATAAATATATTTTTATCATTAATAATAATTGTTATACGTTCTAAATAAATAATTTTTTAAATTTTTTATAAACAATATAAAAATGTATTAAGATAAGCATTGAATATGTATATAATCATATATAGTAATCTGTGCGCATACACACAACACGCATACATTTACATATATACAAATATTTTTGTAATAAGTAATAATTGATGCTTTTTTATATTAGAAAACTACGTTTCAGAAAAAACTTCTACTTTTCGTTTGTTTGCGAGTGCGCAATCCTCATTTCAAAAATTGTAATCCGGGTTTAGTTTGTGCAATATAATAGCAGAAACTGTATACCTAATGTTTTCAGTACTCAGTGTTTACATTTTACTGTTGCAATTCACTTTATAATTATTTAAGATTCCGTTCCTTTTTTGTAAAATTAATTTACCATACAGTTAAAAAGTAAGCAATAATAACAATATAAATATTATATGAAAAAACAGCTACGATTAATTAAAAAGGGAATATTTCATGCATAATTAACTTTTCAAATTCAAATTCATAGGTTAAATTTAAGAATTAAAATATATTTTATAATACTATTGATTAATATACACATTTTTATTATCCTCTATGATCCAAATTCTTTTCGTAGCCATACAAAAATTTATGTATAATAATATAAAATTAACAAATATTAATCTCTAAATACAGATTGACAATGGATTCAGTAGTACCAATAATTTTTTTTTGCAAAAGCATTAAAGGGTCATTTATTATTGATATTAATCTGTAAGAATTGACCAATTATAGTCAATTATTCCGCTTTTATTCGACTATGTAACATAAAATCGACAAAATATCGGTATTAATATATAACTTCAAAGTTACATCAGACCATACAGGATTAATTCTCCAGCACCACTCTGAAATTTTCAATCATAATTCACACTCTGGGGGATTTACACATTGAGGGAAACAGCATATATTTTTTATAGTTCCAGATTACATAAAAATCTGAAAAGATTCTTGCACACTTGTGAAACTTGTAACAATAAATTTTTACTATAATAAAAACTAGACTATATTTTATTTATTTTTTACATATTGAAATCTGAATAAGAATTTTGAGAAAACGTGATATCGACTGCGCCTTAAAAGGCACAAAGTAGTGCTGTAGGATTAATATTATAATTTTTTTTACATCCGTTTATACGTATACATTATACAATAATTTGCATATTTCAAGTGTGTCAAAACTGCATCATCTATAATTCCATTAATCATTGCAAGTACTGAAAATCTATAGTTATACGTAACGTGAACTATAGATTTTCAGTATTCGCAGTGCGTAATGAAGGGCAACCTGTTCGTAGCATTGTACGTATTATTTCAGAATAAGTATTATTGCAAACATGATATTATTTATGATGCATAACATGAGGAATATTATTGAAATACATGTCAACGTATTAATCAAAACTGAATTATTATCGAACTGTCAATAATAATATAATTCTTCTTAGCATTATTATTAAGTAGCGTTATTCTCTAAATTGCTCATTATTTATTTAATACAATTTCGTCTCATATTTAGTAGTTGTAATAAGAAACGAATATGAATTCAATGAAGATTAGTCAATTAATATTAACATCATGCGAGGTCTAATAATTCTCATTATATTAGTGTTAATATTAAATCCACATCGATATTTATTAGAATGTAATGATTCTTAACATTATTGCGTAATACTATAATACATATATATATCAAATTAATACATCGGCTATTGTACTTTTGCAATTATAATTAATGTATAAAATTAATACAGAACTGAGAATAATATTACACAATAAAATATCCGTATTAATGAATAAATACTCACAGTAAAAAGGGAGTTGAATCTTTTGAATCATCTGGATATGTTGCAATTAGCATCATTGATGTGTGTGTAATTACCTTATCTATAAATATAATTTAATTATTCAAACATTGCAAAAACTTTTACACGTTTAATTTTTCTTTTATTAATAAATGTTATCTCATTGACTTATGTCCGTTTTTATCAATATAAATTAACTTTAATCTCGGTTCAACTTATTTTTCATCTTTTCCTAATTCTAAAAATTAGAAAAAGATGAGAGTAAATTGTACCGAGATTAAAGTTAATCTACATTAATGTGTAGTATAAACATGTACTACGAATATTACATAAACATTACAATGGAATACTGACATAATGTCATTTTGTATTGTTTGTATTAACTTATAAAAATGTACAAGTATATATGTAGAGCATACAATACTTACAAATTATATGTTAGAGTTTGGTCAATTTTACATGTATGCCATGAGTTGTTTGAAACATGAAATTGGTCCACGGAGCATGGATCAGTGGAATCTGAGTCATTTCACAAACATCTATTTTATAATTCATCAACACTTTAATTAAACCAATCTTGGTCTGATTAGTGGCAAATCTTGCACCTAAAAAAAACAATATCACATTTCGATATTTCTCCAGTTAAGTATGTCTATATGTCGGTGTATGTATATGCATGAGTGCATGTAGAATGTTAAATATGAAAAGAAATAAATTTCGCAAACATTGTGATATTGTTGCAACACAAAAATTTTTCCATAAATTTGTTAAATTACCAATACAGTTTCTTGGACCATCTCCGAAAGGTAGATAATACATAGGATTCCTCTGTTTTATATTTTCCGCGCTAAATCGTTCAGGATCAAAAACTTCCGGATCTGGATAAATATTCGGATCATGTTGAAGAGCATAATTGGGTATAACCACATCTTGCCCTTTTCGTAGAGTGATCTTAGTCCCCTCGAAAGTATAATTCTTTATAGATTGCCTCATTAGAAACGTTACTGGTGGATATTTCCTAAGAGTCTCTGCAAAATAATACAAACATTTGGTTCAGCAGAAAGATATTTTTCGATAAATCGTACAGTCGATCAAAAGGTTATCAAACCTTCCGCATATCTCACGAAAATATTCGTCTCTGACTTTCAGAAGATCGAAAAAAATCACAGTAACTTTGTGAATAAATTTGATTTGTTGAATTATTTATAAGAAATACTTTTTAAAAGAACACTTTTTAAAACAAACCTTGAAAAATTTTTCCCAAATAGTCCATTTTCTTGACGCTATCAAATGATATTACCCCGTCAGTATTGTCAAGGACTTCCTTAATCTCCTTTCGAACTTTTTCTTGAATTGATTGATTCTGCGCTAGTTCATACATTGCATAAGACATTGTAGAAGAAGATGTCTCAAAGCCAGCCGCGAAAAATACGAACAATTGGGCAGCAATGAATTCATCCGTTACATCTTAAAAATAAAAATAATAAAAAATAATTTTACATGAAGAAGGAAGAAACTATAGATTACTACAATAGTTACTATATTAAAAAAAATTAAAAAATAATAGTTAATAGTGTTGAATATATGAGAAGTGGCAGTTTTGTTGAAATATTTAAAAATTAGAGCTAGATGCAGATCTGAAAATAATTTTTTGAAGTGTCAAAATAACTATGCAGGACGTTCAAATTAGTTGCTAGAATGTCAATACTTTTTGCAACATTACTTATTAATTATTATGCTTAAGTTTCCTCTATAAATAATTTGATGTTTTAACAAAAATATTTTCAAATTTGTATCTATCTAAATTTTTACAGATACTTTAACAAAGTCGTTCTCTCGATGTAATATCATGATAATCGCTCTTAAATTATTATATTAATAATAATTATTTTATTCAATGATTATCTTTTGTGAAAGGCAAAATATAAACAGAAAGATAATAACAAAAATGCGTCTAACGCATTCGAAAGTTTATAAATTAAGACATAAAAAAAGCAATGTTCTTACTATTAACGCCCAATTTGCTAGGATTATCCTTGAGGTCGATAAGTATATCGATAAAATCATTTCGACGCACATTGTTCCGCTTCCTGTATTCTATAGTTTCTCGGGTAATATCTGTTATGAACTTGGTCACGTCATGATCGTCAAAGAAATATCCGAAATTCTTGTAGAACCACGATATTTCTTTGAGTGCATTTCTAATCATAACTTTTGGAGAAGAGCGGAAGATCTTACGGCCTATACGCTGAAACTGATTATTTTCTTCTTTCAACGTGTTCATCTCGAGACCGAAAGCACACGATCCGATCACGTCGATAGTGAATTTAGATGTCAGATCTCGGCACTCGACAATACTGTCTTTAGATACTATCTCATCTAAATACTTCTCGAAGTGGTCGGAACAATTCAGCAACAAGTGAAACATGTCCTTCAACTTCCCGGTCGTGAAAACGGGCGAAAGCCTCATTCTTAATGGTCGCCATCTAGCGCTGTCGAGTCTGAAGAGGTGCATGGACATGGGTTCGGCCTATAAATTATGCATCAGTATATCAGAAAACGGGAATTATGTTAGAAAGTTTCCTTTCAAAGTTTCCGAGTGATCAACGCTTGCCTCGAAACTTATACGTCAGTTCAACTTTAAATTGGAGAGAGAAAACGAGAGATACTCTTTTCCAACTCTTAATTTTTTTAGTTATTATAGTTGATATGTACATACGTTCGAAACAAAAAATAAGAAAACAAATTAAAAATAATTATTTAAAGTAATTAAAATTTTTATTTTTTTAATGCTGATGAAGACTTTGTGCAGTTGAAACGTACAGAATTGTTACCATCTTCATTAGTAAAGATTACATTTTTTAATTAATCAATATCTTAAATTTATTCATCTTTAACTTTGTTTTTACTTATTGCTTTGCATATATTTACACATTAATAATTACCTATTAATATTTTCAAGAATACCTTTTCATAAACTGTTGAATTTCGATCGGCAAAAGTGGGGAAATCCTTGATCAACACCTGTTTGATATATTCAGGATCTTTTATGACAAGCACAGGGTTTCCTCTCAAAAATATACCCACCAGGGAATCTTTTGGATATCGGTCATAAATTTTTTTGAAAAAATCACCCATGTTTATCTTGCCCGTTAAAAATTCGAGAATGTTGCCGAAGAACGGAATGGGTTTCGGTCCATTAATCCCGCGTGATGTCCAATAGTCAAAATCAGCGGTCAAATAATAATAAAGTAAATATAAGATCACCACGCAGGCACAGAGAATTTCGAACATGCCTGTAGCCATTGTTGTTAGCTGGCCACTATTGTAATTGTGATGCCTGTTATGTGATTATTGTACAGTTCAACTCACTGTAAACTCGAACTGAACAGCTCGGATACAGATAGCATGCAGTTCAACGACATTTGTGAGAAATATATAACTGACACTGCTAGGTATTATGTGTCTACTGCACTAAGTTTAATAGAAGGCTCCCCACTTCTTGCTGCACAGCTTGAGAAAGAAGGGCTCAAGATTATTACACTTATATGTGTTGACACATTTTATAACTGCGTATCATTGGAATTATACGGAATTTATTGTATAGATATGCTGAGTCATTTTTAAATGTCCTACTTTTAAAGTTTCATTCATCTATAACCGATAAAATTAATAATTTTTATTAGAATTTTTTATTAGAATACGAATTATAATGAAATCTTAGACGATTAAAAAAATGTATAAGTGCAATAGTTTGGAAATAGCACTTGT